GCCCTTCTGAGCATGCCTGCTCTTCCCAGAGCCAGCTCCACTCCCAGCCACGCTGCAGCCCAAACCAGCACCTGCCTGGGCTCCCCAGGGCTGGGGGAGCATCACCCAAAGGGCTTCACTGCCCCTTGCCCAGGCTGACCCTTCCTGTGCCACCAGAGCAGCATCCCCAGGGCTGGGAGAGCATCTCTGGGGGGCTTCACTGCCCCTTGGAGACTTCATCCACCACCTCCTTCCAGAGCAGCATCCCAGGGCTGGGAGAGCATCACCCAAAGGGCTTCACTGCCCCTTGCCCAGACTGACCCTTCCTGTACCACCAGAGCAGCATCCCCAGGGCTGGGAGAGCATCTCTGGGGGCTTCACTGCCCCTTGCCCAGGCTGACCCTTCCTGTGCCACCAGAGCAGCATCCCCAGGCCTGCAGAGAGCATCTCTGGGGGGCTTCACTGCCCCTTGCCCCTTCATCCACCACCTCCTTCCAGAGCAGCATCCCCAGGGCCGGGAGAGCTCCTGGCCCTGGTTAATAATTGAGTGGTTCCTCCTCTGCCTGCTGGAGCCTGCAGCTGCTGCAATGAGCCTGGCCAGGATGGGGGGTTTGTGTGAGCACTCTCCTTTCTCGCGCCTCCTCTGGGCTCACAGGATCCTCCTGGAAGCATCCTGGCTCTCGTGCTGAGGCCGTGTCCCTGCGTGGGTGTTTGGGAATGTGGGGTGAAGCCTCAGGAGCATCCGGCTTAACCATGAGCGTGCCGGGCCCTTCAGCTGTGCCTGTGCTCCCTTCCCTCCTATCCAGCAAATCCACTGACCCCAAAATAAAGGCCCAGAAGCTGCAGAGCAACCTTTGTCAGAGCAGCTTTCCTTGCCTGAAATCTCTTTAATTGCAAGGATGGGATTTCCTCCGGATCTGCAAGTGCTCAGTCTGTGGTTAAACCTGGGATTCCTGTCCCTGGTTCCTTTCTGCCCCGACCCAAGGAGTTGCTGCCCACCAGTGTGTGCCCTGCTGGGCACGTGGGAGCTGGCTGTGTGGCGTGGGCAAGGAGCTCTTTTCACAGGAGCTGTTATCTCCTGCACTTCCTTTTCTGTGTTTGCTCAACCCCTTGGGGTTCATGGTTAACCCAACTGTCTCTCCTTTAATGGCTCAGGTGTGTTTGATGCTGGTGAGAGGGAGCTGCTCCCATGGGGTTTGTTTTCCAAAGGAGGAAGCTTGGGTGGCTCTGCCTGCCCTGTGCTGGGGATTTAGGGATCAGGGGTCACATTATTATTATTTTATTGCTATTATTATTATTATTATTATTATTATTATTATTATTGTTGTAATCTTTAAAGCCGTTATCAAGGCTTATTCCCCTTTCTGCTGCCCCTTGGCTGGGCATTGTCCTCTCCCAGCATCCTGCCCAGCCCTCCTCATCTGCCAGGAGGGAAGTTGAGGCACAGGGCTGGGATCAAAGCACTTCACCCTTGCCCGGCCTCGTCCTTCCCACCAGTGACCCCCAGGCATCCCAAGGTGGGATGCTGGCTCCCACCCACAGATGGGTACCAGTGAGCTCTGGGATGCTCTAAAAATACTGAGCGGAGCAAGCAGGGAGCAAAAAATGGCTGAGATTCAGTGAAATCAAAGGCATAATTAAAATGCAGCCCGTGTAAGTGTATTTTTAGGGCCCCACAAAAAGGCTGTAAACCACTGAATTCCCATCAGCGCACGAATGTTCCAGTTTAATGGAATCCTGGGGCCTGTGGGGAAGAAGTGAGAGATGCTTAATTGTCAGTGTTTGTGTTTTATTCATGATTGAACATACTTAGCAAGCAAAAACTGCCCTGCTGTTGGCTTCTCGCTGCTTGTGTGGCTTTAAGCCTTGCTCCAGCCAGAAACTGCCCGGTGTGCTGGAAGGGTCGGTGGCTCCCAGGGTTTGCATGGGCCGTGCATGGAAAGGGGATTATCACCTCCCCTCCCGTGGGAGCTCTGTGCCAGGGCTGCCTTGGGGTGCCCAGAGCTTGTGTGGGCTCCAGGAAAGAGGGGAAATCCCATGGGGGTAAATCAGGGCCTGGGAAGTCCCTGAATGCAGGTGCTGGGGGTGCCTCGGGACAGGGTTTGGTGTTCCCAGCTCCTCCTGCCTCCCTTTGTGCCCATTGAGCTGTGTGCTGGGGGCAGAGCCAAGGCAGGCTCCTGCCAGCATCCCTGCAGCACCTGGGGCCCTCTGGAGCAGCTGGAATGGCCCCTGGAGTGGGGAATCCTCTGGGCTGGCCCAGGCTGGAGCCCGTTCCTGCAGCTCAGGGGGGATCTGGGGGCTGATGCTGCCCCAGGGACCTGCGTGGGGCTGGGGGCTGTGCTCCGTGGGGAGGGTCTGCAAGGTGCAGGGGGGCTGAGCTGGCCGTGGCACAGGTGTGCCTCCTGCGGGCTCGGGGGGGATCTGGCTCCTGCTGGAGGGATGGAATCTGGTGTGGGATTGCTGCAGATGGCACGGCCGGAAGGAGCGGAGGAACGCGGCATGCCAAGGCAGGGCTCCTTATTTTAAACTGCTTCCCTTGCCAGGGAACAAATATGCCTTGCTTCAAAATAATAGTGATAAAGGCTGGGAGGAGGTGCAGGGAGCCCAGAACCCTCTGTGGGTGTTGTGTGCTGGCAGTGCCCGGCTGGGGTGCTGGGTGGGAATGCCATCCCAGCGGTCAGGGCTGGCTCAGGGACCGGCCTTTGGGGTTCTGCTGGGGTTGGAACAGGGGGAAATGTGTTCCCTGCCACCTTCACCCCAAGGATGCATCCTGTCCCTGCTGCAATCAGCTGTGTAAAACCTGCAGGAGGGAGAATTGCATCCCGGAATGCAGCAAGCAGCAGCTGCATCCACATCCCACGGTGCCCTGTGCCAGGGATGCCTGGGGATGGGGCTGGCCTGGCACACTGGGAGCGGTGGCACTGGTGGGCAGGCTGCTGTCTGATGGGAGGGAAATGCCACTGCCTGTGTGTGCCTGGGAGCAGTGCTGCAGTGGGGAGAGCTGGAGCAGGGACTGCTGTGTGGGGAGAGCTGCAGGGCTGTCACAGGCAGGGACACCTGCCATGGTCACCCTGGGGTCCAGGGAGGGACCCTGGCGTGTCCCAAGGGTGGCTGTCACCTCCTGCTGGGACTCTCAGGGTTCTGGCTGAGACCAGCAGTAACACAGTCTGGTTAAGCTGCAGTTTCCAGTTGACAGAGCAGGGCAGGAGGGGAAACTGAGGCACACAAGGTCACGAGGAGTGCAGGGAGGGCTGGGAACTGGTCCCTGGCTCTGGCAGGGGTGTCCCCTGCAGACAGCATCCTCCGTTCCTGTAGCCACTGTGTCTCTCCTTCTCTCCCCCTCTCCAGGCTTCCACGTGATCCCCTCGGTGTCCAGCATCGTTCCCGAGAGCTGCCTGCTCATCGTGGTGGGCCTTCTGGTCGGGGGGCTCATCAAGGGGGTGGGTGAGAAGCCCCCCATCCTCAAGTCGGACATCTTCTTCCTGTTCCTGCTGCCCCCCATCATCCTGGACGCCGGCTACTTCCTGCCCCTGCGCCCCTTCACCGAGAACCTGGGCACCATCCTCATCTTCGCCGTGGTGGGCACGCTCTGGAACGCCTTTTTCCTGGGGGGGCTGATGTACGCCGTGTGCCAGCTGGGCGGGCCGGGCCTCAACCACATCGGCCTGCTGGCCAACCTGNGCCCCGGGCACCGTGAGGTGGCCGGGGATGTGTGACAGGCGGTGCCAGCTCAGTGGGCGCCACCCTGGCATCCTGAGCAGGGTCCGGGGTGGTTTGTGCACTGCCCACCCCGGTCACTGCACATCCCGGACACTGCCCACCCCGGACACTGCACATCCTGGACACTGCCCATCCCGGACACTTGGGCCACATGGTCTGGGGGTGATGGACAATTTTCCACACTGGACACTGCCCACACTGGACACTGGACACGGAGGAAGCAGCGGGAGCACGGCAGCCCCGGGCAGTGCCCAGGTAACTCACCTGCCCACGTGCTGGGGAGCATCACCTGCAGCCTGGTGTCAGTCATGCCTTTAGAGCGAGAACTCCCCAAACCCAGGCATTTCCAGGATATTCTTGTTTCTGTCTCAAAGGGTGAGTAACTTTTTTTAATGAGGGAGGACTAATGATCCCTCCGGGGCTGTGCTGTCACCACTGAGCCACTGCCAAAGAACTCACGGTGCTGGGGCCGGGGGTGGAGGGGCCCCAGTGTCCCCCCGGCCCCACGGTCCTGGCAGTGATGTGTTTTCCTTGTGTGCCCCCCATGCCCCAGGGTCCTGGCAGGGATGTCTTTTCCTTGTGTGCCCCCCATGCCCCATATCCCCCTTTCCCTCCCAAAGCGTGTTTGGGCCTTGGTGGTGGCACCAAGAACAGGGAGAAAAGGGACTCTGAGCAGGATGACCTTGTCCTTCCATGTGTGTTCCGCGGTGTTCATGCCCCTTCCACAGCCCCCATACGTGAGGGTTAAAGATCTGCTGCCTCTGCCTCAGCCAGAAGGGCTTTCCCGTGCCTCAGTTTCCCTCTGAGGTCCAGCACGAAGCCTGGGGTGCAGGGACTGTCCCCACGGCCCCAGCAGGGCCCGAGAGCCCTCGAGGTGCCCAAGAAGTCCCTGCCTGAGTGAACCAGCTGCTCCAGGCTCAGCAGCCTCCAGAGCAGAGCTCCCGGCTGTCCCCAGAGGAGAGGGCACAGCCCTGGAGCTGCCACCGCCTGCAGGGCACTCGGTGTCACCCGGGGCCCCGAACCCAAAGCGGAGGGAGCGGCTGTGCTCCCTGCCAGCCCCAATTGTGGCACCGGGATGGGTCATCCCTGCCAGGGCTGGAAAGGCACAGGTCACGCCAAGAAAAACAGCACGTGGTGTCACCGGGAAGCCACCGAGCCTGGGGACACACAGGTCATGCTGCCAGGGGACAGGGGTGTCCCCAGCCGGCGACACCCGGGGCAGATTCAGGCAGGGCACATCAGTGCTGGGTCACCGCTGTGTCCCTGTCCCCACAGCCCGGCGGGGCCGTGTCCCCCCCGCTCCCCGGGCAGCATTGTGCAGCAGCCAGGGCAGGTGACAGGTGTCATTCCCGAGCTCTGTGTCACCTGCACTAATGACACCCTGCGCTCCCTTTCATCCCAGCGCCTCCCGGGTGGCCCCTCTCGGGCAGCATCACTCATCATCCCTTCCAGGAGGGGATGTGGCCGAGCCTGGGGGGCCAGGGCGGTGACACAGGGACGCCAGGCTGAGATCAGAGAGTGGCAGCACGGTGACAGCCCTCATGCCGTGCAGTGGGTGCTCACAGTGCCCCTGATCCAAACCCAGCCTTGCTGTGGCCAGCACCGGGACAGTGTCCTGCCTCTTTGGAGAGCTGCAGCCGCAGCAGCTGGTGGCGCTGCCCCAGGGAGGAGCGAGGAGCGGCGGTGGCACCTCGGGGACGGGCTGGCCCTGTGGCAGTGAGCGGGGCTGGACAGCAGCTCCAGCGCCTGGGAGGTGTCCAGGAGCCGTGTTTGCCCAGGGAGGATTTGGACAAGGCCATGGAGAGAACTCCACCTCCTAAACCCACAGGGACACGTGGGCACGGGCGTGTGCGTGGGGATGGCAGCGTGGGCGTGGGGACAGTGACGAGAGCGGGGACAGTGACGAGAGCGGGGACAGCAGCAGCTGCGCTGGGGACAGTGGCTGTTTGGCAGGGACGGTGGCTTTTGTGCAG